ATGCACACTTGAGCTAAAACAGCACAAAGTCCTATATCAAGTCTGTCTCCTCTTCTATGTCCTTTCTTGATCTCTGCCCCAAGCTGCATGGAAGAAAATAAAAATAAATAAATTAAGGRCCAGGCTGAGAGAATTGCCTTATCTTGATGCTTGCGCTGTGTGGTAATGATGCTGAAATTGCAAGCTACAGCTATTAGCACTGAGCAGCAAGGATGCATCCGTGCACAGCRACTGTTTGCTAATGGGCTTTGGCTCCCCCTGACCTGTGCTCACTGGAGAATTAATGGGATGGTATTTGACATGACAGTAGCACGCTGTTTAGTAATCCAAATGTCAGGGCCAAAGCTTGCGACAATCTCTCCTCTGTCTTATCTCTAAAGTGCCCAACTGATAGGAGCGTCTGAACCACCTGGAAATAAGGGAAGGAATCGTCTGCAGCAACATGTTTAATGAGTATCCGCTGCTAGACAGGGTTTGTTTCTGCCTGTTTGGCCACTGCCTTCTGCACTGAACACAGGCTGCCTCCTGCCACCCCAATCCACGTCCGCGTGACAGGCAGTGGAGATGACACTGGCTGTCCTGAGACAGGCTGACAGCTAAAATACACAGTAATAAGGATATATTGTAGCTGTCCTATCAGAGCTGGATCCTGTCCACTTCTGGACTGGAGAAAAGTTTTCTATCCAAGCACTGAATGTGCAGAAAAAGCTGGGTAAAAGTTTAGATGTCAGAAATCAGAGGTGCTGAATCCTGAGCTTAATCAAATGGTTTGGGAGGTGTTTTGGCATAGCTATGTGCCTGTGTCTAGGTGCAGCAGCTCAGAGGAATTCATGAGCATAAGGATCAACCTGCCAAGTCCTTACCTGGTGAGCTAGAAAACTGTCCCTGTGCGGCTGGAAGAAGACATTTCCCACTGGAGTTTCAAGACTTGCTCTATATCAGGTGCCTTCATGGTCTCCATCACTGCCTGCCTTGAGCTCCTCCCTGCTGGCAGCTGCCCCGTACCCCCATCCCTGCTTTGGAAAAGCGGAAACCAGAGCTGTTGTAAATCAGAGCTGCTGTCAGACACGCTGCACCGCAGCTGCCGCCCCGTCGAGTGGGCAGCGCAGGAGGGTGACAGGAGCTCCGTGGCACAAACGTTCGTGCGGGTGACAAACACTTTCCCGCTTCAGCCGCAGGCGCCTCCCCACGTCCTGCCCGTGTGAGTCGGGCTCTGCCCACGCGGATGCCGAGAGCAGCCTCCGTGCCCCCGTTCCCGGCGCTGCCGCGCGCCCCCTTCCCTGCAGCGTGACCGGAGCGATGAGTAAGGAGGAGCCGGGGCTCGCGGSCCGGATCAGCGCCGCGTGACGGCTCCCACAGCGAGCGGGCGGCAAGCGCCCGCAAGGGGGTTAAAGGGACACAGCCCTGGAGATCTCCAGCCCCGCGTCGCTCTCCCATGGCGAGCAGGAGCCCCCCTGTGCCGTGTCCCCCGGCTCTGGGTCTCCGTATCCCAGCTGTCCTGGGAGCAGCCAAGCTGGAGAGCACTCCTAAGCCATCCCTGTCAGAAGGGGCTTTTCCCAGGCAAAACCTGGGGAAGGACCTGGCTTTGGTTTGGCTTTCGTTTCCTTAAGCAGAAGAGCCRGCATCTCAAAATATCCCTTTCAAGTTCGATGCCCGCCTGTGTTTGGATCAGCCCAAGTGCCTTCTGAAGGAGCTGCAGTTAAGCCCATATGCAAACAGCCCAGGTTTGCTGCTATTTTTCTTTATTAAACTAGTGGATCTGCACCAGCAGCCCYAGCAGAGAGGCAGTTTCTGATGCAAAAACTCCCCTGTAACAGTTTGCCATATCTGCCAAGGAAATGAATTCAGGCACTCAGCTGGCTGTTATTTCTGCCAGGAGAAATGTGTGGCAAAGACTAATAAGCAGCAGTGTTGTATTGGGAAATGTTTCCAGTACAGATTTGACTTAAACTGAGGAGCTGCCTGGCTTCAATTGTATTTTTTAAATAATTCCAGCATAATTCATCACTTTCGGGAACCATGGAGATCTTGGGTCATGCCCTTCCTGCAGGACAAAGGTGAGCAAATGAGCAAGCACGTGACAGGCTGCCATTCATTTCAACTCTCTCAAACATATTTTCAAATAGGTGACACTCTTGATATCATTTCACTTCAGTTTAAAGCTATTTATGTATTTACAGGGGCAGCATCTGTTGCTCTCTCACTTTGACTGCAAACTGCAACCCCTGCTGAGGTGGAAGGCAGCTGTCCCCGCACAGAACAGCCTGGTGCACGAAAGGGAAACCGTGACAAGCTGGAAACGACAGGGGAGGTTTATTGTCTAAAGATGCTCATGTGGGCTGTGCCACCAGAAGGATGCAAAGTAGAAGCCACATCCTGCCGCCTTGGCTAATCCAGAAAAGAGCTTTCAGTGTTTTCCCTTGGAGTAAAAGCTTTAAATTTTAATAAGCTGCAGTGTACTTTCACCGGATGTCATAAGCTGATACAAAGTTTAAATGGGGTTAAGTAAGTGGAAGCCTAGGAGAAACAACAGAAAGGATGTAAATTATTTCTTCTCTTCTACGTGTTTATTTCGCTATGATTATTCTGGGCAAAAAAAAAAAAGATTAATTCAAATGATTTTTTTTTTTCCTTCTTGGAATGAATCATCAGTGGAGGGGGACAACCCTGGAATAATCATAGGGAGGTGCAGTAAAGGCTGCATACAGAACATTGAGAGGGTCCATTTGCCCAGGTTACATTTGTAATGCAATAAATTTTAAGGAAGCTCCAAGTGACGCTGTCGCGGGCCGCAGCGCGAGCCGCACAAGGCTCTAACCCAAGGATTTGCAGGACGGCTGCTCGCAAGGTCACCCGGTCCGTCGCCTGCCGCGGGCAGGATCACTTCTGCCTAAGTCTTTCCGGCCCGACTTCTGCTCGGCCTATTCTTGGAGCGCCGGGCGCTGGGGAGGCCGCGTCGCCGCCTCCGGGGACCTTCCCCTCCTGCCGCGGGAAGGAGCAGGACCCTGTTACCTGCTTCCCYGGTGCTGCCCTTGGACACGTCCGCAGGCTGTTAGCGATCGGGCTCCTCTGCCCGCACGTGCTGCGGTGGAGCCAAACAGTGTGCAGGAGAGCGGCAGGCGGTGGCATTCACAGGAGCGACCCACACCGAGGTCTGCTTTTTGTTTGTTCCCTCTCCACACAGGTTGGCTAAACCGGGGGCTGTGCGATGTCCCTTTYCTAATGGATAAAGAGGAGAAGCTGCAAGTCCGCAGCGGGAGCCGCTCGCAGCCCTGGCKATGCTGTGCCCAGAGGCACAGGGACCACGTCTTGCTTTTCTCTACTGCTGACTGTGCTGCTGAAAACAGAGGTGCAATGCTCCTTACTGAACGTGATGATTTGCTGTGGTAGTTTTTACTGATTGTCATGATTTTGTTTGCCAAAATGACTCAAAAATATTCCAAGTTAAAAGCATGAGTTGCTCCTTTTGGGGCCTGCTGGAGAAGTCAGCTCTGTACCCAGGAGCTGCCCTCGCTGTCAGCGGAGCAGGCAGAGTAACATGTACTGTGCACTGGATTATATTTATGTGATTATACCCTCTAGGCAGCAACCTGGTGCTTAAGAAATGAGTCAGGCAGAAAGACCAAGGCAGAGAGAATCTGATTTAGTGGTGATAAGATTAGCCTCCAAAAGATCTGCCCCAAAGTAGCCAAGATTTCTCCAAAATATGCTTGTCCTAATAGTCAATTAAGCTGCCAAATGAAAAATAACTGATGTCATTTGATGGCTCCGTGCAGTCTAAAGAAGCAGTAACTGCCCCAAGCAGGTGCAGAGGGGCAGGAAGAGCAGGGAGGAAGGAGGGATAACCCAGCGGGGCTGCTGAGGGCTCTGCTGGGAGGCTCTGCCCGGGTGGAAGAGGAGCAGTTTCCTGGGAAATGTATCCGGGGAAAAGGAAGAGCTGGGACACGAGGAATGCGTGCRGGGGAACAGAAGCAGGAAGAGGAAAGAACAAATGAGAACTGGCAAGTTGATAAAAGAACAAAAGGGCTTTGTCTCRCACTAAAGGCAGCTAACTCTACAAATAACTTTCCCATGTAAGCAATTACTGTAGCTACCCCAGGGATATTATGTGGTTGCAAATAGCAAGAGAAGTTCTTTACATTCATAACTGGTTCTCGCCTGCGATGCTCTGGGCCATCTAAGGCAAATTGAAGGCTGTCTGTGTGGATAGCTGGGATCCCTCTTTTAGAGGTTGTCTGCCCATCTGTAAGCAAAAGCAGTCACTCCATGGAAGCGGGTAGGAAGGAGGCCTCATTTATTCCCCTTTCGCTGCTGTCTGTGGCAATCAAGGGAGTCACGTAGACATGAGTCAGGTAAAAATCAGACCTAAGTCCCGTATTCACTTTCAGCTGGATTGTCACACATCTCCCATTGAAGCCACGCGCTGCTGAACGTGATTCTGCCTCTGAGTTGGAAGGGCATCTTGGCCCCTACATTGCAAAGTGCTCAACTGCCCAGGGCAGCATCGCTGCACCCGCTCTCCAGAGAAGGGAACCAAGGCACGAAACAGCTGAGGCTCTTCCAGGGTTTGCAGGAGCAGCGTTGGGATATAAACCAAGCCCGAGACAGTCAGGCCATCGGGAACCTAAATTCAGTTGGGTCTCCCAACTGTACAGCTTGTAGCCCACAGTTTTGTCCGATGCTTTGGGAAAAGTCACTTAAGATTATGTATTTGCTGCAGACTCTAGATTTTAAAGTAAAAAAGTGTATGACCTTTGTAAAGAAAATGTATGAGAGAAAATGCTCGAGCAGCTTGTAATCCCTTTTGTTTTTAGTGACTTTTCTGAGGAGAAGGTTCGATCCTGCTCCGGGGCTGTCCAGCACGGAGGATGGTTGCCATGCCCTGGAGCTGGTTTTGGACAGGGCTACAGCCTCAACAGTGGGTTACACTGGTAAGACTGGGGCTCCTAATATGCAGCATGTTGATTCACAAGCCCATCTCTTTTGCTGCACATGATGTCATGATCAAGTCATGGCACTGAGGGGCTCCTGGCTTTACAGCCCTGTRCTGGAGGCACTCGGCTGTCTGTAGCCCATGAGTGCATACTTACCTCTCTCCCAGCTCACCATTTACCAGCACCCACTTATCTCACTGCTTGTGCTGCAAGCGTTTTGACATCAACCACTCCAAAATTAGAAACTGAGGTTATGGAAAACTTAGTAACATTTAGGAAACATGAAGCTGTCTTCTTCTTTGTTCCTCCTTGATCCTGAAGGATCCCTTGCCGCYGCATCGTGGTGCAGCTGGAGCTCTGTGAGCACTGTGGCCCTTTAGCAGGTCCCCTATCCACCACCTCCCTCRTGGATCCTTCCCATGGGGACCGTCCCCATGGTCTCTGCAGCCCCAGCGTGTGGCCTTGGCCCAGCGACATCCGGGCTTCGCTCCTTGGGGCGAGGAGCAAATGGGGGCACCCGGCATGCGGTGTCACCACTCCCGAGCGCCCGGATGCTCCTGCTGCTTTCACAGTTGTTCTCCTGGGCCCTTTCTAGAAGCCCATTTGGACTTTTCGTCTTTCCAGAAGGCTGCACTTTACTCTTTTCCCTGCAAGCAGAGCCTCAGCCTTGTTCTACCACTTTTTCCAACTGGAGCTCCTGATCYGCAATGGCCAAGTTTCTCCTTGCGCTCTTAAGGAATGGTACTGGTTGGGCAAGAGAGCAGAGTTGGTTAAGGGAAATCCAGAGCCCAGCAGGGAGGGCTGTTGAGAAAAGGCCCAGCCAAAGCAGGAAGGAGCAGGGGGATTTGCAAGGGGAAGCGGGAGGAGGAGCAGCAGGAGGCTGCGGACCCTGAGCGGGAAGGTGATGGGGCCGCTTGGAGGAGGGGAGTTTCCTACCTCAGCCAGAGCGGGTGGCAAGTTGCACAACCGGCCCTGCTTCCGAGAACCCCRGCCCCTGCTCCCCTCTTGCTGGGAGCACCTGCGGGGTGAGGGAAGTGCTCCCGGTGCCGCGGGCGGACGGAGGAGCCGGGAGCGCTGCAGGCACCGGGCATGGGCAGCGTGAGGAGCTGCCAGTGCTGCTGCCATGAACCCCCAGGTTTTCTTCTAGTAAAAAGGTGGCCGTGACTCACGCGTGAGGAAACAAAAGCAGAGCTGGGATCTGCTGCCAGGCAGCGGCTCGGAGCGCGGACAGGAGGAGCGCGCGGGAGGAAGGCCGGCTGCAGCCGCCCTCCCCGCACACACGCCCGGGACAAGCAGCACCTTCTTTTTCTGGGCTTGTAAAAGCATCCCCCTCCTTCAAACTTTTCCATTGGGAGAGCGTGGGGAAACGCTCTCTTTTGCCTTGCTTGGGTTTCCTGGGCGGAAGCGATGCTCCCATGTGCCCGGCTTGGCCCCGGCTTCCTCCAGCCCCTCAGCATCTGCCGCTGGTTTCCCATGGGCGAGCGGGGCCGCTCCGGAGCCRTCGGAGCGGCCGCGTGGCGCCCGAGCTTCCCGCGGGAGGCAGGGCAGGAAGCGCAGCCCGGCTCRTGCCGGGCCCGGCCTTCCGGTGCACTGCGAGCAGCAGCAAATGCCCCAAGGCGGCACAGGCCTCCCCCTCCTTGGGAGGGAAAGGGGAAGGGGAGGATGCGCATCCCGTGGGATAGCGGGAAGCAAAGAGTTTGACACCATCCTGGCGACGCTCGCGGTGGGAGCCGGTTGCGGTGGGAGCCGCGGMTGCGGCTGCCCCGGGCACGCGGCGGGACGGGCAGGGGAGGCAGCGCCCGCGCGGAGCCACCGCCGGGCACGTCTGCTGCTTCCGCTGCCTCCCGTCCCCAGCGGGCGCCGAGCGGGGGCACGGGGACCTGGGGCGTGCGGGGGGTTGAAAGAGGAAGAGGGGGCTGTGAAAGCAGCTTTCGGCCTTCTTTCATTTTCCTCTGGGAGCAGCGCTGAGGGTGCCCCCGTTTYGGTGTGGGCAGGAGGTGCTTCCGCCCCTTGCCGAGTGAACATGGTTTTCAGGCACCATGAGTTAAGTGCAAAATTCCCTCTAATCCACTGATGTAGCTATTCCTGGCCCGGGATGCTGTGGTGCACAGCAGTGCCAGGCTCCTCACAGGTCCCTGGCTCCCTGTTTCACAGCACAGGAGTTTGCTACAGCSGAAGGGCTGTAGGATCCCGTGCCAGGAGATGTCCCAGTGCGGGAGACTTTCTCCCTCCTGCCCTATCCCGTGTCCTGCGGTGTCACCAGTGTCCCCCGTTGCCGTGCACCAAGCAAGGCCACGGTGCCACCGTGCTGCCGGGTCAGGCAGGGCCGGGGGGTCACTGCGGCAGTGCAGGGAGCTGAATCCCGCGGGAAGAGCTGCCCGGCACTGCCTTCCTTCCCGCTCTCCTCCTCCTCCTGCTCCTGCGGCGGCACTTCCCGGCCGCGGCGCCGCGCGGGCCGGGCAGAGGCGATGACGGGGGTGCGGGTGAGTCGCGGCCCGATGACTGGAGGATTTTTGCGGCGTTTTTCAGCTTCCTCTGCCTCCGAGCCTGAGTAACGCGGCCCCCTGGGCGCCGCTCAGCCCCGCGCCGCGCGGGAAGGAGGGGGGATCCCCCCCGGGGGGCGGGGCTTGCGATACCCTTACATGGAGCGCGGGCGCGTCACTCGCCTTATATGGGCAGTGTCGTCAGGGCCCGGCCTCCCATTCATATAAATGGCGCGCGGCGGCGGCGCCCGGGATTCCCTGCCTCGGGAGCCTCGGTCGTCCCGCACTCCCGGCCCCGCTGCAGCCCCGGCCGCCGCCGGGCAGCCCCGCAGGCAGCATGAAAGTCACGTCCCTCGACTGCCGCCAGCTGAGGAAGCTCCTGCGAAAGGAGCCCTCGCGCTGCCTGGTGCTGGACTGCCGGCCCTACCTGTCCTACTCGGCCTCCTGCCTCCGCGGCTCGCTCAACGTGAACCTCAACTCGGTGGTGATGCGGCGGGCGCGCGGCGGGGCCGTGCCGCTCCACTTCGTGGTGCCCGACGCGGCGGCGCGGGCCCGGCTGCTGCCGGGCGCCGAGGGCGCGGCGGGGGCGGGCGGCCTGGCSGCCGTCGTGGTGCTGGACCAGGGCACGGGGCACTGGCAGAAGCTCAAGAAGGACAGCACGGCGCAGATCGTGCTCAACGCCCTGCTCTCCAGCCTGCCCGAGGCCGGCGCCAGGGTCTGCTTCCTCAAAGGTGAGAGCCGCGGCGCGGTCGCCTCCTCCAGCGGCGCCGGGGTGGCCGAGGGCAGGGAGGTAACGCCGGGACTTCATTTCCCTGCCGCCCACTGCCGCTAAATCCCGGATAGGCTCCGCGGGCTGAGCCCGAGCCTTTCCGCTCACCCCCGCCGCGCGGGTAAGAGGCTGAGGGACGGCGAAGGATATCGCGGGCAGAAGGACAAAAGTGGCGGGTTATGAAGGGAGGAGAAAGGGGGTGAATTCAGGGCTGCGCCGAGAGGAAAACCCGCCGGGGCCGAGGGGGGCGCCGGGGCTCCCGCCCGCGGCCGCTCCGTCGGGGCGGCCCGTGGAGGGCGCCGGGACCCGGGAGCTGCGGGGCTGGGGCCTGCGCTGGGGCCGGGGGGTTGTCTCCCTCCGGCGCACTGAGGCTGGAGGAAGGAGGAGAAAACCCCCAGCCGCTACTCGGGGCTTGCARGGAGTAGAAATTCCCTCCCGCCCCTGAAACGTGCGTGTATCGCCCTCTGATTGCRGCGGGTTTTTTTCCTTTCGTGCAGTAAGTCGATAAACGGGAGCAGCCGCCCTGTCCCCTGCGCTCCCGGCGGCTCCTTTGTCCTTTCGCCCTGCCGGGTTTCAGCGCGGGGCTGGAGCAGCAGCTCGGGGCCGCGCCGGGGGGCGGGCAGGGCTCAGCGAGCCCCGCTCCCTCGCTGGCCCCACATCCTCCTCCCGGGGCGCTGGCCCCACATCCTCCTCCCGGGGCGCTGGCCCCGCGCTTTGAAGTGGTGCCTGCGGCCGGGGGCAGTGTACGGGGTGGAGCTGCAGCGTAGGCCGCGTTTTATCCTGCTGCTCCTTGCAAAGCGCCTGGCTTGAGAGCCCGGTGTCTGAGCAGGGAGGGCAGGAAAGTCTCCCCTTGCTCAGAGGCCGGGGGTCCCTTTGTCTGCAGCGGGAAGCACCACAGCTCTGGGCAGGAGGCCGCTGGAGCAGTGGGGTGGAAGCCACAACCAAGGCTTCAGGCAAGGTGGTCGCCCATGAGCCAGGACCGATGGTGCCCGGATCTAGTTCTTGTTCTCCAGAGGGAGAAAAGCTTCCCGAGGCTCCTTGGTGCATCCATGGGGGTCCAGGGATTGAGGAGCTGGTGGCCGTAGTTGTCCCCGGGAAGCGTGGGGTGGCAGCGCGTGAGCAAGGCCAGGATTTGTTATTTATTGATTAAAAGCGAAGCCGCGATGAGCAATCCGGTATTTGCAGAAATGACCTCCGGGAAGCTGGGCTGAGCGGGGAGGGGGAAGAGAGGCACTTGCTGGAGGCAGGGATGAGAGGATGAGTCACTGCCAGGATGGACTGCGAATATCCTGATCCCCAAGGCTGCTGATTAACCGTTCAGCAGCCATGGACATGGGAGGCACCCGGTCCGTGAGACCACACACACTGCTGGGCCCAGCAGACCCGTGTGCCCGTTCAGGAGYGAGGCAGCCAGGGCACGAAGGCAGATCACGGTCATTACATAAACTATWCATTTCTTCCCATGCGATGGTGGAGGAGTCGGGGAGCGGGCAGAGATGCTCAGCTATTCAAAACAGATCAATGCAGGAGCCAGCCCAGGAGTTTGGRATCAAGAGTTTGGTTCCTCGCTGGCTCTGTGCCCCGCTTTGGTTATGAAGCCCCTGCAATTTGTCCTTGTCCATGTCCCGTCGCCGCCTGACCCACCGGCGTCAGGGTGGCTGGTGGAGATGGGCAGGGTGCAGGTGCTGTGTGCAGGGTGCTGCCGAACGCTCTTCCCAGCCTTTCCGCAGTGGGAAAACCCTCCTGCCGCAGTCAGTGGGGTCCAGACCGGGCGGCCGGGACCCACAGCTGGGCTCAGAGMGGGGCCGGGTGGGTTGATGGGGAGCTCCCGCTGTGCGAGGTGCCCACGCTGCCCCAAGGGGCCTTCCCGGCCCGTGGGGCTCCCGGCCGCCCTCCCGCGTGCGGCATCTTCCTCGGAGCAGCAATTTGGCTGATGACAAACTTTGAGTAACAAGGCAGTAATAGGATTAATTCCTTTTCATTAGCGGCGCGACTGCAGCACTTAGCCAGGCAGAAGAGCCCGTGTGGGGCTATTCAGCTGCCAGGAGCTGTCGCAGGATTTCATTAAGTTTTATAGCTGTTATTTAATAGACTGGTTTCGGTGGCACTGTCTTCATTAGTTTGCTGTCTTGAGCACAGTGGTGATTAATGGCACCTTTGCAAGCACCCCCTCTTGTGCTCACGCTTCATTCAAAAATGCAAATAAACGCTTCTTTTAAAAAATGTTGTTTTCAATGTATATAGTAAAGAGGATGAACACTGCACATAAAAATCCCTGTCTTGAATGCTGGAACTAATGCTCACATACAGAATGCGGGGGAGGGAGGTGGGTCCCATTAACCAGCCTGGAGTTAATGTTTGCTAGACTCAGCAGATTTACACTCACTAACGGTTTTAATCAGTATCCATTGGYTTTTATTAAGTTAATAATTGCCAGCTGTATTGGAGGTTTCTCGGGAGGTTTGGAGRCTGTTAAACAAAGCTGCATTTCTGGGGCTCCGTGATCTTCCTTAGTCCCAGGGGCTGGTCATGMGGAGCTTTGTTTCTGCTCTGTTTTAATGAAGGCAGTTTTTGGAAATGCAAACCTTTGTATTTCTTTCCCTCCTCTTCCCTAGGGGGATATGAAACCTTTAATTCGCAATATCCCGAGTGCTGCGTGGATGGGAAGCTCATTTCCCCGGAGAGAAGCGATGTGGAGAGGAGCGTGGCCAGCCCCGGCGAGCAGCCCAGTGCGCCCCACAAGCCGGTGTATGACCAGGTGTGTGCCGGGCTCTGCATCCCGCTCTGGAAAAGTGCCGGAGGCTTTTCCCAACCCAGGGGCTTCCATGGGCAAGTCCTGGCGTTGGCGCTTCCGGCGCTGGAGAGCCCCGGGATGCCCCGTCTCGCTGCTGCAGGCACCTTCCTGACACGTGGGGCCGAGCGGTCGGGGTGGCGGGAGCATCATGGAAAGTCACCTGCTGCACTGAAACGCCGCTCTCAGCCCGCGGCGCCTCTTCCCTTTGTGCCTTTTTTCTTTCTTTTTSTTTTCATGGTTTCGTCATTGGCCTTTTCTTGCTTTGTGAACACAGGAACTGAGATGAGTGCGGCAGGAGGGCGGGCGGCCCCGCGCGGGTGACGTGTCCGGGGGCACCCCAGCTGCCCCAGCCCGGGGGAAGGCGCCCACGCAGGCTCCCAGGCAGGGCTATTCGCCTCACAGCCTCCTGCTCCTTCTCTTCCAGGGCGGCCCGGTGGAAATCCTGCCTTTCCTCTACCTCGGCAGTGCCTACCACGCTTCCAAGTGCGAGTTCCTGGCCAACCTGCACATCACAGCCCTGCTCAACGTGTCCCGGCGGAGCTCGGAGCCCTTCACAGACCAGTACTGCTACAAGTGGATCCCGGTGGAGGACAGCCACGCGGCCGACATCAGCTCCCACTTCCAGGAGGCCATCGACTTCATCGGTAGGTGCTCCACATCCGCCCACCAGCTCCCCGAGGGCTTTCCTAGCAGAAAGGGAAGCAGGTTTTCTGCTGATGCTCCTCAAAATAAAGAAATAAACAAAAAGGTTTCCTAACAATTTTATGAGCCTTCATATATATTAATTTTAAGCTTGAGATTAAGCTTTGGGACTTTGCAGCTTTGAGAACTGCTTTGGTAGGAGACTCGCTCCCCTTATCGCAGACCTGTGTTTGCATTTCCCACGACAGCAGYTCAGCCCTTAACTAAACGCCCTGCTGCAAAACTGGGGCAAAACCCCTAGAGACCCTGGGGCCCCGCTCACAGTCGGGCTTGTGCTCCCCCACCATGGGCACCCATTGCCTCCAGGATGGTCTCTTAGCCTGTTCTCTTCCCGGTAAGAGAGTTTTTTCAGTTTTCAGGGAAACACTAATTCACGGGAGTTTTTTCTGTCATGTCCCCATCCTCTCCTTATAGTCATTGAGTTGCTTGGAAAACCCCCAAAAATGTTGAGGGTGGTTTAGTTTTCACTTTTTCTTTTGAAGTGGGTTGTGGCGTGGGTGCTGGCGATGACTCAAATCCAGGTCTTCCTTATTTTGAGCAGCAGTTCAGCAAAGTGGCCGTGGTGGCACCGGCCCCTGCCCGCGGTCACAGCCGGGCACGTGGCTCCGCACTGGGCGCCACYGCGCTCCGTCCCGGTGCTCCGTGAATCGGAGCCCAGACACATCGCTCAAGGCGCGGGGCCAGAGATCTATTTCTGCCCTGCATTTTTGTGAGGAAAGGACTTATTTTAAGCTTGCTCCCTTTAATCTAATAACAATCGCTGTGTTGTGCGAGTTACCGCAGCGGCCGTTGTGTAAAATGGGTGCTTTGCGTAAGCCTTTTACATCCTGCCTTAATCCTGACTTTGCCTGGCTGGAATTAGCAGTGYCAGGGCGCTCGGCCTCCCTGCTGGACCGAGTAGCCAGCCGGGATCGCGCCGGGTGGAAAAGGGGCGGTTTGGGGCAAGGCTGACGAGGGCGCCGAGCGGGATGACGAGGGATGACGAGGGCGCCAAGGGGCAGAGCTGTAGGTGACAGGCCCGGAGGGGCGCGTGGAGGCCGCTGCCGTGCTCATGGCCACAACATGTGGGTTTTCTCTCCTAGACTGCGTCAGGCGAGCAGGGGGCAAGATCCTGGTGCACTGCGAGGCGGGCATCTCGCGCTCGCCCACCATCTGCATGGCCTACCTCATGAAAACCAAGCGGCTCCGCCTGGAGGAGGCCTTCGACTATGTCAAGCAGCGCCGCAGCCTCATCTCGCCCAACTTCGGCTTCATGGGCCAGCTGCTGCAGTACGAGTCGGAGATCCTGTCGTCCACCCCCAGCCCGCCCGTCGCCTCGTGCAAAAGAGAAGCRGTGTCTTTCTTTGCGGAAGAACTGGCTTTGGGCAAGGGCTTCGAGGGCTCGTGCTTCGCCTTTCCTACCTCAGTGCTCACGTCTGTGCCCCTCCACTCGCCCGTCCACCAGCTCAAACTCAGCCCCATGACAGCGTCCTCGTCCTGCTGAGCCCCAGCAGGCAGGGCCGGGCCGCTGCTCTGAGCCTGACTGTGACCCCCACGGGGACATTTCATGAACGTGCAATAGAGAAACCTCATGGACTTGGTCTGAGACGGAGCAGCTGGTGTGGGTGATGTTTGCTGTATGTGTATGTGGACTGTAAGACCCGAGTGCTTGACATGTGGCAAATTTTAATGTCCCTTTTTTTATCTAAGAAAAAGGAAAGCTGACGAAAGAAGTGTTTTTCTAGGTTTTTACCCACGGAGTGTGTACCCACTACTGTATTTCCAGGTCCTTCTGGAGCAATGAGATATCTGCTTGGGATGTTCTCAGGCCCATCTCCTCCCTGCTGTAGTTTTTCAGCAAACCCTTAAAGTCTCAAGCAATAAACGGCAGCAGCGGGAAAGAAATAACACGAGAGGCCTGGGTGGTGCCCGGAGCCGCTCTGCGCTTTCCTCTTTCTCCCTCTTTCCCCCTGCCGTGGAGTCTCGTGTTTCAGGGTGCAGAGGGGCCAGAGGAAGCCCCTTGTCCGGCTCCTCCAGGGCCAGGGATCACCCACAAGGACACTGGATGCCCAAGGAGACCTGGCCTGTGTCTGTTTTTACCAGGGCCCTGCTTTGCACGCAGGCAGGGCGGCTGGAGCGAAGCTGCTCTGCTCCCATCTCCCATTTACGAGCAGCCCTGCAATACTTGAACGTCTCTGCGAGCCTCTYCCAAGCCGCTTCCCTACAGGTGACACCGTATCTGCTGTTTTTTACACCAAAACCCCTGAGCCCGTCTCCTCCCTGGCATTTTGGGTGTGCGTGGCAACGTGGTGCTGTGTTTTGTGGCTTGCTCAGTGCGCGTGGTCGCTCCCCAGCAGCCAAAACCCGCTCTCAAGCTCGGGCCGCGCTGCTCTCTTGTCTCCTGACCTTTTTATTTTATTTTTTTATATATATTAATATGTATGTGTGTGTATGTAATAATGTATGGGAAATGGCAATAATTTCCAGAAGATCTCGTGAATGTGAAGGAAAACCTGTGACRGTTTTCACGGAGTGTAAAAAAAATAATAAAAGAGGGGAACCAAAATGAAAGGCTCCATGTGGTGCTTGGGGAGCGAGGCGGGCGCAGGGCACAGGAGCAGCGCCCAGGAGTCCAAGATACCCATCTGCGGCGGGGGAAGAAGGTGAGGGGGAGGTTTGGTTGTTTTTTTTCCCCTTTCTTCTTTTTTCGTTAACCAGAATGACATGAGTCACGGTGGCGTCACTTCCCGGCGGCCGCGTCTGCTGTGCTTCACACACTCTGGATGTACGTGGGTCTATAGGACGTGCCCTCCTGCTGAGGATGAGCAGGGGAGGAAGGCTCGGCCCCCACTTCCTGCCTGCAGCCTGAGCGGGGCTGCGGGCACCGCACAGCTCCCGCCTGGGCCGCAGCTCCCCTCGGGAACTGCCTCTGGATTCCTCCATACAAAAATTCCCACCGAGTGCCGGCCTTGAGATCCGCTCTTCCAAGCACTTAGGAAGAGCTGGTAGCACCAGCAGTGGTTGAACTGGCTCGTCCATGGGCAGGTGTCCATCTAAGCTTGGCAGGAGCTGGACATTTCAATCAAAAATCCAATAGATTTGAGGGGATAGAGGCCAGCTGGCTGTAACACCAAGGGGAAGGCTTAAAGCAGGATGTTACTGGACAGCAGAAAATCCGAGTGTAGGAAAGGTGCTATGAATGCTGCAATGTGAGTTTATCCCTCAGGAAACCTGGATCCAAAGAGAAGAGGAATTGCCACAGCAAAGGGGCTTTTGCAGGTGCTGTTGCCCCTGCTCCAGGGCCGCGCTGGGACCTGGGACACTTCTGGTCACRCAGCCCTCGTGTCCCGGGTTCCTTGGTGCCAGCAGGAACCTCGCTGGTCCAGGCGGGAGCCCGCACTGCCCTTTGCTCCGTGGTGTGTGTCTGATGAAGGCATATTCCAGAGGGCACAAAGTACCTCGTGTCAGGATCTCCTCTTTGAAAGACACGGAGCTTGTCGATCTTCACTTCAAGCAACACACACTGGGGATGTAGACTTATATCCAACAAAATCCGTGTAAAATTCACCATGCCCAAGCCGCGCTGGCGGTTTACACCACACAACCCATCCCTGACACAGTCCCAGGGTGACCAAGTTAGTTATTCTTAACTCATTGCTTTGCAGTGGATAACTTTTCCAGGAAACAACATCCGACTGAAGACGGCAACCTGCAGGCGTTGTTGTTTTCATGTTAAAAATAACACTTGCCTTCTCAGGAAGCAAAAGGACCAAATGTGCCCCGTAACGGGGGCAGCAACTGGAGCATCAGGCAGGATGCGACTGACCCAACGGCTCCACTTTTCACAGGTTCAGGCTAATTGGGCAGGAGACACAAGGCCAGCTCCCTTTCTCCAGGGAGAAGAAAAGGCAGGAACCAGCATGAGGAGCTGCACAGATATGGAAGTAGGATTTTTTTGGCGTGGGAGGTGTTACCACCACCACACGTTACAGTTGCCTGGCTTTATCACATCGTAGGCTTTCACTGAGACGTGAGTCCTCTAAATACGGAATATGAAAATAGCCTGTGAAATAGGTTGAGTCATCACAGAAAATCGAATGATGTTCTGACACCAGGGCTTCACTCACAAAGTCCTGCTTTGCTTTACGGCTGCGTTGTCAAATGTGGCRTTATCCAATCTGTTAGCTTTGGCCTCTGACTTTGAAGGACTCTGACCTGCAAGTGACACTAGGGCTCAGCGAGGAGGTTTCCTTTCCTCCCACCGGCCTCCTGCACCCCACGGAGGTGGCTGGCAGGACCCCTCTGCGCTAGGAGCTGTGCAAACCCCCAAACCACAGGAAATGCCCTCAAAGGTCTGTGGCACGACCATCGTCTGGATTTACTGAGCTGCTGCTGCCGGCAAAGCTCCTCACATGTTGGTCAGGCTCTGGTCTCTCAAGGTGGGTCATCACGTAGTGCTTCATGGGCACTCTTTCTCTCCATCTTTTCTTTCTTTCTTTCTTTCTTTCTTTCTTTCTTTCTTTCTTTCTTTCTTTCTTTCTTGAATAGCGGTTTATTTCTGTCACACAGAGATACTCCGTTTCTGAGCTCTCTTTGTAAAGCAGACCACGTTTGGCAGTGAGTCACTGGTTATTAAACTGCCCCTGCACTGCGAGCTGCCCCCAGGCCCGGATCCAAAACCCCTTCCCGCCGGGGGAAGGAGGCAGGACCACTGAACCCTCCAGCTTCACACCGGAGCCGGCTGAATCCTGACTTTAGATCTTTATTTAAAGAAGCAGTTTGCTCAAATTTGAACTAAAATTGGGCCCAAACTGGAACGCTGGATTTTTGCACGTCGTTGGGCCCAGCAGTGACRGAGGGGCCTGGATGGAGTAAAGACGCCTCTCCCCGGCCAGGCCTCCCTGAACCAGCCGTGARCCGCTTCCTCGGAGAGCTGCAGGGCAGGAAGAGCCGCCCCAGCAAGGCCTCGCAGCAAGGATGTCCTGGCGCCGCCGGCTCCGGCTGGGAAAGGCCTGGGAGCCGCAGAGCGCTCACGAGGCAGCGCCCGCGGTGGGCAGCCCTCCATCAGCTGCGGGCAGTGGTTTTCCTCTCCGTGATAAAGCTGCCTTATCTTGACTCTCATTTGATCTTCAAAGGCCGGGAGGGAATTTCACACTGGCTGGGGGCCGCCCAGCTGCCTCCTCGGGGGAGTCGCGCCGAGGGGACGCCCGGCTGAACGCTCGGCCTTTCCTTAGGCCTGGTTTTGGTGGATGAGTTGGGAAAGGGCATCGCGTGGGGCTATGCAGGCTGCAAGGGGGCAGGGGGGCTGAGGGATGTGTCGGACGGTTTCCAAACACCCCTTTGGCCAAGGCTGCTGCTGATGAAGGGATACCCCCTCAACAGCTCCTCTGGGATGAGCCCTCCGCTCCCTGGGCTGCTCTTCCCTCGGAAAACACATCCTGTCTGTGGACAGGTCTGCAGCTCTGCGRGTGGGACACAAGCTTCTAGATCCATGCGCTCTTTGATGGCCAAAGCTGCCCACTTCGCTCAGGCAGCGTCTTCAGGAGGAAAACAAACCGCTATTAAATCACCTGCTGATCCCCCCAAGCCCGCGCTGCCGTCTGAGCCAGTGATCTTTCATCCGGAGTTTGGGATTAGCCAGGTCCTTGGAGGTCAGGCTCGCTTAGAGTGTGTTTGGAGGAGCCCGGCTGCTCCGGTCCCGCTCCAGGCCGCTCCAAGCGGACACATCGCCACAGAGGCCGCRCAGCCCGTTCAGGTGCCGGCCCCGCTCCCTGCATCCCATCCCGGCACCTCACGCATTCCCAGCACCGTCACGGAWGGGCAGCACAAGTCCGTTCACCAGCATGCACCCATATCCCAAGGGATATTACAAGCCCATTCCCCGCTCCCAACGCCGGGGAAGAGCGCCCCGAACCCAGGTGCAGGCCAGAGCTGTCCTGGAGCGCAGGAGCATCCTGGGCTCCGCAGATATCCCAGCGAGTGGCCGAGCCCTGCCTGGTGTCTAGAACAAGTGCAGAGCCACCGTTTCATTCACAGAATTCCCCAGTATAAGCAGGCGCTTTGTTAACCAGGAGTGGATAGCGACAAGGATGCTCTCTATTCTCTTGCAGMTGAATCGAGGTCTCTTCCCACATTGCGTGAATCGGAATTTAGCCGCTTTTGGATGCCGCATCCCGCGCCATCTGCTGGTGGAAACCCATCCGCACGTGTTTCAAATTATCTCCCTGATATTTAATTAATTCCATGTTTGTATGGTGGTTTGCTTTATAAAATTAGCAGACCAAATTAAATCAATTCATCCACAACCACATTTTATTCATAAAGAGGCCCTGCTGAAAGATGGTGAGCAGAACAGCTACTTTCCCTCGCAAAACCTGCAACATATTCATTYGTAATCGAATGCATCTTTGCAAAAGCAACCTTTTCCTATTACTTATTTACTGCTGTTGTTTTACCCTGTGGGTCTCTTCTCGCCAAGCATGACAGCCTTATTGAAAGCATTAACACGAAGCGTTCCCAAGAGTGCTCCGTGGTCTTCCCTCCTGTGCCCTGCTCGAGGACTTGAACGAGGAAGCACAAGTGACTAACAGTGTCAACCAGACAGGACTTTGCTGCAATCGCTTAAAAAACAGCTTTCAGTACCTAGTAATTGCAACCACTGATGAAGAAAAGCAGTCTATACATTGGTTGATAACTGAAAAGAATAACAGAAGAGAGAATAATACAATTTGCATTTTTAAAATATTTGAAAACCTTTTTTTCTAAAAGAAAAGCAACTATTTGAAATGAGTAAAAAAAAAATATTTTAAAATCCCATCTAYGTGTTCACATCAAGCTTGATCGAAGAGATAAGCAACATACATTTTTTGCTGATGAAGCCACAGCGAATCAAAGCAGTGCTCCCACTTTCTCCTTTCTGATGCTAAAGTTGAGTTATAGCAGACTTACAGGAAAGCCCTGCATATAAAGCAGGGCCATGGAAAGCAGGCAAAGCAGGTGAGCTCTGCAGCACCCACTGAAGAGACGCAACGGGGCAGTCGCCGCGCGTGGGGAGCCCTGGTTGCCCCTTTGCGGGCACTGAGCCCAGGGCCCCGTTTCTCTGGGTGCAGGTCGCAGAGCTGTCGCGCTGCCCTGCAGCTCGGTGGGTATTTCCAGCATGGTCTACAAGAGCCACCAGGGCCCCCTTGGACACAAACC